AATAATAATAATAATAATAATAATAATAATAATAATAATAATAATAATAATAATAATAATAATAATAATAATAATTAGTTTGATTTTGAAGAAAAATTTTTTTTGTAATATATTCATTATTTTTTTTTTTGTAATTAAATATATATATTAAACAGCTTTTTTTTTTTTTAAGAAATGTTAGAAATTTACATTCTTCTTCTTTCTCTTTTCCTTTGAAAAAGTGGTATTATTTCCAAATCACTTTCATTGTCGTCACCTGGAGAAGTGCTATTATTATTTAAGAAAGTATTATTGGTAGTGATGGCTGACGATGATGATGCCACTGTTATTTCATCAATTTTAGCTTTTTTCCTTTTATGAGTATTGGTAGAATTAGTAGCAACACCTGTAGTAGATGATGATGTTGATGATGTTGATGAAGAAGCTACCACCACTTCATCAATTCGCAGTTTTTTCTTTTTTTGTTCAGCTTGTCTCTTCTCCCTTTTTTGTACTTCAAGCTCAGCCTTTCTCTCCAACTCTGCCTTTTTGGCCTGTTCCCTTTCCAATTGTTTTTGTTTCTTTTGTTCCTCCTTTTCTGCTTGCTTCTTTGCTTTCTCTTGAAGTTTTAGTTTTTTCTGTCGTTCTTTTTGTTCTAACAACTCCAACTCTTTCTCTCTTTTTCTTTTTTTCTCTGCTAATGCTGCAGCCAATTCAGCAACTGATTTTTGTGGTTGTCGACGTGGTTGAGGTGGTATCTTACCAGTTGGCGGAACTTTGGGCCTTTGGAATTTTTGTTTTGGTGGCAACTGTTCATCCTCAATTAATTGTCCATTGTGTTGTTCAGTTTTGAGTTGGAAGAATTCTTGTAATAACCCAATTCGACTACTTGAATCTGTAATCGGTTTCCATGGTGGCGGTGGTGAATATTTGTTTTCTAGTGAATTATCAACTTTCTTAACTGGGTATTTGGTTTTATTAGTTCCATGAAATAATTTCATTGGAACCGATAATGGTCCCAATCCGAGTTCCTTAAATCTAAAGAAATCTTCATCCACCTCTTCAACAATATTACCAGTTACAAATACATCTTCATTTTCCAATAGTGTTTCATCGATGATCTTTTCTGAATTGTTGGCACCGCCACCACTACCATCTGGATTTATAATTTGTTCATTAAAAGCAGTATCCAATCTTCTTCTTAAATCCTTTAGCTTTGTACCATATCTACATATATCATCTCGAAGGTAAGACTCAATATCATTTAATGACCCTATTCCATTTTCATAAAGAACATGCTCAACTATCTCTTCTGGTTTCATTTTTTTATCATAGTCATCAAGATATTTCCTAAATGTTCTACCAATGTTCATTAAATAATCACCAGCAATTTCTGTTAAAATGTGAAGTGGTGTGTTCATTGATGATTCAAAACCAGAATGTTGTAATAACTTTGCTACACAGCACTTCATCACAGCCGAACTCGTTTCATAATTCATTTCTAATGGTGGTAAATCCTTTGGGTCTCTTTTTGGCTTATTATTATTATTATTATTATTATTATTATCATTATTAGTATTATTATTATTATTATTGTTGATATTACTACAACTACTGCTGCTGCTGCTGCTATTATTATTATTATTAGAAATAATGTCATTACCATTTCTTGTAACGGCAGGAGAAACGCCAGGAATGGAAATAGAAGTGGACGCAACAGTGACAGTAGAGGTAGAAGAAGTAGCAGTAGCAGCAGCAGTAGCAGCAGAAAAAGCAGGATCGTTGAAAGCAAAATGATTTTCCGGAAGATTATTTTTGAGTGCTGCTAATTTGGCATGAAGTGCACGACATTGTTTCAATAATTCAATATTCTGATCGATTATAGGTGCAGTTCCAGTTTTTGGAATTTGTGCTTCAGGATATTCATCAATTGTTGGTGCATTTTCAGTTGGATCATAATCTGGATCTGAAAGCTTGTTCCTATTTGGATTATTGATTTCAGGATCCCATAATAAAGGTAATGGAGATAGAAAAGGTACTTTGAACTCTTGTCTTAACCTTATATCCCATTCATCTACTTCACAGCCTGAGTCTGAATCAGAGTTATCATCATAAAGTTCAATAGCCTGAGCACCTTCTTGATGTGCATTTTTTTTAGCATTATTATTATTATTATTATTATGAACAACACCAATGGTGCCATTATTTTCATTAATATTATTATCATTGATATTATTATTGTCATTACAAATTATTATTATATTATCATCTTTATTATTATTAATTTCCTTATTAATGACAATACCATTATTATTATTAATACCATTGCTATCAACACTATGACTACCAAGACCATTAATATTGACTTTATTATTATGCTCAACACTTTTGCTCATAGCATTATTACTGCTACTAATACCATTACTATTGATCACATTTCTCTCAACATTGTTGTTCACAACACTATTGTTACTACTACCAACACTAATTCCAATACCAATACCACTACCACTGCTACTGCTGCTACTGCTGCTACCAATTCCGTTAACAGATTTGGATTTTTGTTCTGTTTCTTTTTTTAACTGTGAAATGAACTCCTCACGACTTAAGATTGTAATGTCTGGAACTGATTGTAGTAATGCATCTGTTTTTTCTCTCATTGCTATCGCATGTTTTCGATACTCATTATCAGGATTTGTATTGTACAAAAGACAATTTGAATAGATGAGATAGAGATCATCAGAGAATTCCTTCTTTGAATTATAATGTGTATTTTTTATTCTTTTCGATATTATACTGAGATCCATAGGATTGGTGATGATTTGATAATAGTCAGGGACTTCTTTTGCATTCACTTTCTTAAGGAAAGGTCCACTGTGTTCTGTATAATTTTTAAGTGAATTAAAGACGCTATTAATGGCTTCATAGAGTTCTGCTTGACCGATCTTATCAGGATTTGACCACTTGGATCCAATTCCTCGTACTTGTGATAATAATAAAAACAATTCACTTTCTTCATGTTTTTGTAACCCATTGGGTTCTTTTTTTAGAGCTTCTAGTAGATATTTAATTCTGTGATCTACAGAAGCCAAGTTTTGTAAATTGCTATTTTCCATTGTTAAATGTGTAAATGTTGTAAATGTTAAAATAATAATTAACCTGTTACCTAATTTGTTAATGATCTACTTAAGAATAGTGAAACATAGAGGACATTCGATTTTAAGAAACGATCAGCATTAGTTACACCACATATTAAACATATACAAACTGACCCGTCATTTGACTATATTCTAATCCACTTTCTATTTTATATACGGTCAAAGTAATTCGGTAAAAGGTGAAGTAATGCGGAAGTTAGATGGGAGAAGTATTTTCCAAACATTCAAAATAAATAAATATTGAATTCTTTTTTGTTATAACAACTCAATCATAAAAAAAAAATTTAGTACGTTTATAAACAATAACTCTTAAACTTTGAAAAAATATTTATAGCTCTATAATAAAGAAACATGTCTGGATCTACTTGACCAAAGAATGATGGGGATATTATTATTATGTCTCATCATATTAATACAAGTGCGTTGAATAAATGTGCAATATAAAGAAACGATCATAACATTCTTGGATCTACTAGAGTGAAGAAAGGTGTGAATATTATTATTATGTTTCATCATAGTTAATGCGTCACAATAGCAAGTGTGTTTGAATGATAAGTATCTTATTAATGATGTAATATTTGAAATTTTTCATTATGCAAAAAGGATTAATAGTGTAATTTTATGTCACATGACGAGTATTATAATTAGATGATACATTGAGTAATGACAAGGCGCAAAGTTCAATGCAAGCTATCAACATTTTATAAATATATTTTTTTTTTACGAATAAAAATATTCAATTCAACGTGGGATATATTTTATTTCTCAAATGATATAGAGATATTATTATTATATTTGTGTTGCTTCAACTATAGGCGCATTTATTACACACATTTTTGTTATTATGATGGCAATAGAAGTTTACAATCCAGTGTTTGCTTATTTGTGCATATAAAAATATTGTCAATGGAGTCATTTGATTGTCTTGAAAAAAGATCGTTATTGCTCTTGTATAGATAACGTTAAAAAATTTATTATTAATATTAATAATGATTGGCGTAATAATAAATTCAATTATGCGTCAGCCAATCACAGAGAAAGCCCTCTATGTTGAATAGTGATGGGCGTGTTATATATAACAGTCGGGTGTAACAATATAAATTCATCATTGATTCAACAATAAAAAGAGTTTTGGCATTATTTTGTTCTTTGTTTTATTTTTAAAACTTTGAAATTAAAAACTTGCATCTAAACCTGTCTTATATACCATGTAATACGTATGTACCAGACTCTCAAGCGCGTTTTTATTATTATTTTTGTGTATTTATTATTATCAGTTATTCGCATTAACTTCAAAGTCAAAAACCGAAAAATCATCAAGTTAACACAATTCATGTTCTATGTAAAAGTATTTCTTCGTATGTGTGTTTTCAAACTATTCGAACATGTTTTGATTTTTTTCATTTTATCAAATTTATAGGTTATAAAAGAAGGAATATTTGTGATAATAATATTATAATTGTAAAATTTGTTGACTTTTATTTTGATTATTGATATGAAGCTAATTATCGAAACTATGAAAATTTTTAAAAAACGAAAATATATATATGCCAACATATTATAAATATAATAAATACTGTACTAATATACTAATACCAATACTATACAAAACTACAAAATCATATTTCACGATTTTATGTTAGTTTCTTTATTGTTTTAATTAATCTTGCTCTTTCAAAATTCTCTTAAATCCAAATGGTTCAAATTTTCTACCAGTACCTTCATAAAACTTGTTATTAAATTCAACCCTAAATTCAATGCAAAAAAATTTATTTCATTATTATCATTCAACACACTTTTTAAAATAATTGATCAGCATTTAATATCATAGAACAAAACATACCAATGTAAACGTAAAGCATGTAAAAATGCAGATAATCCTTCCATAAGTATTAATATACCAATCGTTAAAATAAACCAAAAAATTGATGCAACAGCAATTAAAATTACTCCCAAGACACCTTGGTAATTTAAAGCAGTTTTTAATGTCATGTCCCATAATACAGATGACAATTCTTTTTTTATTTTATTTATTTTGGAGTTTTTGATTTAAAAAAAAAAATTCATTGATCATTAGTGATTAAGGTTTTCATTGATATTAACATTAAAAAATAAACATTATAACTTACGAGCATGTGCTAAACTTAAAGCCCATAATCGTAGATAGCTTGCAGTATTAGAAATGCAACCAAGGCAAAACTCTATAGTATGTATAACTTGATGAATCATGATTTCACCAAAATCAAATTCTTCCTCTTCATGAATCTCCTCTGTTACCACAGCACCACCATGCTCATTATTTTCATCAGTTGATATACGTGTTGCATCCGTTTGTGGATTATGATAACCTTGTGCTCTAATTTTTTTATGATCATGTCTCATTATAAGAGGTTTTGTTAATAACATCCAAGGCACGCAAATTAATGCTATTATTAATAGGATAAATTGAACTTTATCCTATATCATTAAATATGAAAAAATATCAAATAAATGAGATAATCAACATGAAGCAATGAAAACGAAAACGAAAATGAAAATAATCATCACTTACTTGACCAGGATATAATTGATCTTTAGCTGCGACTTTACCAGGTTGTAAAAACATATATATCAGCGTATTCAATAAACCAGGTGGGCTATTTCTAATGGTTTGACCTGATTCGTCAGTTTCCCACCAGTTAATTGTCCATTTGTATATAATAGTAAGCATAAGGTATCCAAAAATTGATTGCATAAATAACATTTGTGGCAAAAATTCTGTCCAAATACTCAAGGTTTTTTTAAAATATGTATAGTTGTATATGGTAAGAATTATACCAAAACTCATATGAATTACACCTAAAATTATTGACATTTTCATTTTATATGAATTAGTAAATAACAAATAATTCTCTGCACCATGCCAACTTGGATCAATTCCAAATGGATAAACGCCAGTTTGGATCACTTTGTAGGTTCCATCAGTGTCATTTTTGATCCATTCAAATCCAGGTTTTGCCAATTTTAATGATAATGAAAATATATCATTGTACATTAATCCAGTATACATTGAAAACAAGCCCATTAAAAGAATGATATAACGACCCCCAAAAAACATTTCAAAAATCTGGAATAGTTTAATAAATATTGTTATATATACACATACGAATAAAAAAAGACGTTATTATCATGACACTACCTCTCCTTTTCCATTTCTTTCCAGTCGTTTTTCAAATACTCAAATTCATAACGAATGAAAACAAATATTGTGTGCCCGAAAATTTCGTGTACCATAACACACACAGATTGAAGGTGGTCGAGGTATTACTCGGGATCTGCATATCTAATTTTTTAATTTACCATCATTAATATTAATAGGCGGCGGTCCACAATTAATCCCAAAATGCCTTATTCAAGTCTCTTCCGTTCAGAAGAGATGTCGCTCATTCAACTCTACATTCCATCAGAAACTGTCCAACCAACAATGGCGGAATTAGGAGAACTTGGCCTAATACAATTTCGAGATGTAATGAATGACTTTAAATTGTATAATTTATATGTACTATATTATAATTTATTAACACTTTGACAATTACCATAGTTGAATCCTGATGTAAACGCTTTTCAAAGAGCTTTTGTAAGTGAAGTTAGACGTTTTGATGAAATAGAAAGACGACTTCGTAAGTTTATTATCATTATGATAGAAAATAAAACTGATGATTATTTGTTTTATTAAACCTTATATCAAATTCCATTTAATTCATCTATCACGTGGATGATAATAGGATATTTTAGTGTACAAATTGCAAAAACGGATATTCCTATTTATCCTTTGACTGGAGCACGCGCAAGGAGTGTTCAAGAACTTAACGAGCTTGAAGAGACAATTAACCAACATGAGCAACGTATCATACAAATGAATAACTCATATGAAACTTTACAAAAAAGGTACCTAGAATTGACTGAGGCTAGACATGTATTACAAGAAACGGCTATATTTTTTGAAGAAGTGAGTTGTTTAATTATTTTAATTATTCAGTTAAGAAAGAAATAATTGATATATTAATTAATTGTATTATTTAGGCAGAAAATCGTCAAGACATACGACAATCCTTAGATGAGCCTACAGCACCATTGTTAGACCATACTGATGTTGAACAGGGAGAATCTTTGGTTTTTCGTCACGCCAACTTTAGGTTAGTTAATTATTTATATTTTTTGTTTTTTGAAAATTCATTTGGATCCAAAGTTTGTTCAAAAATTTATATATTTATCTGATGCTAGGTTTGTAACGGGTGTTATATTAAGAACAAAAATGCAAATATTTGAACGAATCCTTTGGCGTGCATTACGTGGCAACTTTTATATCAATCATGCAGAAATTGATGAACTAATTACTGATCCAGAAACAGACGAAGTTTTAGAAAAAAACGTTTTTATAATTTTCTCCCATGGACAAGAAATATTAAATAAAATTAAAAAAATTTCTGAATCACTGGGAGCTACACTTTATCCTGTAGATGATAATCCTGATCAAAGACATCAAACCCTAATGGAAATTACTACAAGCATTAATGACCTGAATTCTGTTCTACAAAGTACAAATCAGGCTCGTAGAACTGAATTATTAAAAGTTGCAGAGAATTTATCAATTTGGTTTACCATTATTAAGAAAGAAAAGGCAATTTATCATGCAATGAATTTGTTTAATTATGATAGTACTAGAAAATGTTTGATTGCTGAAGGATGGTGCCCAACTAATGATATTGGCCAAATTCATAATGCCTTGAGAGTTGCAACTGTAAGTAATGATAATAATAATAATAATAATAATAATAATAATAACCAATAAAATTGGATTTAAAATTTTTTAGGAACAATCACGTTCTATGGTACCTTCAATCCTCAATGAACTTCGTACAACTAAAGAACCACCCACCTTCCATCGTGTTAATAAGTTTACTGGAGGATTTCAAGAAATTGTCGATGCCTATGGTATTGCAAAATATCGTGAAGTCAA